ATATATATATATATAAAGATTTAAAAGTCTTCCAGCATTAAGTCAATTTCAAGTTGAGTCTAAATAGATTTAGTGCGGCTCGTGGATTTCGAGCGGAGGTGAGGATGACTCGAAATTGGCCTAAATAGATTTAGTGCGGCTCGTGGATTGTTACATTCAATTTCAAGTTGAGTCAGGTTAAAATTGAATCAAGTCCGATCCGGCTCGAAATCAAAATGCGTTGGCTCAAACTGAGTTATTTTGATCTGTTTCAGCTTGGAAACGGCTCGATCCTGCTCAATATTGAACTATTTGGCCCAAGTTGAGTAAATTGAATCTGTTCCAGCTTAAACTTTACTCATGACTCATTATATTTAATTTTAATTAGCATTTTATATAATATATAATTATCATAAATAAAAAATATTACAGGCAGATCTTGAGTTGGTACGAAACCAATTCATGCATGACTCAAACTGGGCTCCAATAAAATTAAATCCAAAGTTTCGCTCATAAATCGGCTTGTTTATACCTTCGAGCCAAATTCACACAGCCTTCTCAGCCATAATTCATGGAATGATAAGCCTCTAAAAGGATACATGGCATAAAGGTCCGGTTCTTCCCCGTTAAAATTCTACTGAAGTTGTAACGGCTAGCTAATACATTTGAAAAGTCCCCATTCGTTCCGCTTTTACCACAAAATCCTCCTATTCTCTCGCTCTATCTGGCAAGCTGGGAATTTGCCTCCATTGAGAAGCTATATAAAACTTTGCAACCTTCACTCCCTTCTTCCAATCCACTGTTTCATACTTGGTTGCTTCTGAGACTTTGTTCTGTTCATCGATCCGTTCGCTCGCGTTCCCATCTCTAGGATTTGCAGCAAACCTCGTTTCTGTCAATCCAATCCCAGTGATTTCAAAGTTTTTAGCTCCATTCAATGGCGCCAATTTCAAAAGAGACGGAAGATTACATCCGGGAATCCATTGAGGGTTCCGCAGGCCTCCCAATCTCGGAGAAGACGCTCAAGCTGAAGCTTTTGGCTTCGGAGGAAGATCGCCGACTCCTTCGAGATCAGAACTTTATGTTGCAGGACCGACTAAGGGAGATCAATACGCGCTTCCAGAGCTGCAAGGTTCGTCCTTTCTCTGTCTCTCCCAACCCCACAAACACACACATTCTATTGTTCTCTAATTCTGTAAGGGATTCTTTGGTTAGATATATAGTGTTCTTTTGAGGAGGCGTTTAGCATCCTTTTCATTCTACCGAAAGCGCACAGAACGTTAATGTTAGTTTGGCCATTCAGTTTTTCAGAATGTTTTTCCCATCGCATCTCTATTTCAATGGCATGTTCTTCCATGTTTAATCGCCCTGTAACCTCATAATTACATTTTAAGCAGTTCGCTTTTGGTGCAATTCATAAGAAAGTGACTCATAATATTTTGTTTTATGAATAATGCTAAGATTCTGCTAACTCTTTATTGGTTTTTTCCCTCAATTCGTTTAGACCAAACTAAACTTTTGGGTTTATTGTGACAGGAGGAAGCGAGAATGAACGCACGGGGTTTAAGAAAATGTATCAAAGATAAGGAAACAATAGTCGCGAAGAATGCTGAAAAGGAGAAGTACTGTGCCGAACTGGAGAAAAAATGCATGCTGTTTCAACGTGAATTGGATAAGTACATGGAATCCTGTGGTGAGTTAGAGAAGGAGAATTATGAACTCCGTGCTCAATTGCAGGATATCTCCTCTGTGAGTTTTTTGGTGCTTTTAACTTCCAATATATCTTGCAGTATTTTATATTAAATTCTCAAATTCCATGTATCTTGCAGTTCATTAATTAGCTATGTTTCAAATTTCAATTTTTCATGGAATCTGTAAAGCTGAGAAAGAATGTGTTTCTGGCTGAAAATAAAATTCAAAATTATCATTTAAATTTTTCTTGAACTTATTTTAAAATACAATAAAAATAAAATTTTTATTTTTTATTAAATCTCAAATGTGCCATTACATAAATAACCTAGTGGAAAATTATATTGATTAATCTCACAATTTAAATATTTAATATTAAAAATGGGATACTTGATTTTCATAAAACTTCACGAACCTCCACCATATTGGGTCAAGCTTAAAGAAGAAGCCAGATAGAATAAGGAAGTCATCATCCATCCAATCCAAGTTAAAATGCTAATCAATTAGCTTTTATTGGCCTTCAAAATAGCAACTTAAATGTAGTCAAAACACTAGCATATACACTTACCTTAGTCAATCAAGCATTACCATATTAACATTACTATTTTTCATACATCTACCTCTTTTTATTTCTACTCATCATTATCAGCATTTTCCAAAACCCCACAAGTCCTTCACAATACCTCATTGAATAACAACATCAACATATTGGTTCTTCGGAGTTCAGACTCCTTTAAGCCATCAAAATTCGCAATTCAAACTTTATAGGCATTAATCTCATTAGCATGCTCTCACACTTCATCAATGAAGATCGAGATTTACACAGTTACCATCTATTTTGCGTGCCTTTTAATAACATTATTGTTTATTTTAATTTGTTATTACATGTATGATCCATACTCAAATACGGCCTACTAAATTCAGTACATTTCTGTCATGCTCTTTTATATCTTCCTGTATTCATTTTAAATTTTGATCATATTATTCAACCAATATTAGCTTCAAGCTATATTCGCTGAAGTCCAGTCCTTACAAAAAGATAAGGATATGCTCTTAAAAAACTTGCAGAGAGCTGAAGAGGAGGTAACAAAACTACTACTATGCTTTATTTTTCTTCTTTGCTTTGTTTTTCTGTCATGGGTCATTATATCATCAATTATCAATTTCAATTTTACATTTTTAAGGTGAAATTGCTGTATAAAGAGAACAGATCTCTAGATGAAGAGAATAAGTGGTTGCAGAGAAAGCTACAAAGAGAACAAAAACATCATAGATCCGAGCACAAGCACTCAACCAGGGACTCTTCTTCTAGGGTGAGAGTCTCACAGCTAACATTCTTGAGAAATGTTGTTTGCAATAACTTAAATATAACTCATTTTTAACTCCATGTTGATATAAAACTATTATTTGGTCATTACATTCCTCCTATGTGTAACTTGTGAGGTAAAAAGAAGCATTTTTTTTCTTATTTCAGGGTAAGCGAAAGTCGAGGCAAGGGGAAAGCAAGCATTTTGCTAGAGAAACCGACATCGATCTTGACAAGCCATCCAGACAACGTTCCCATTGTTATCAAAATTCTCCACAATCAAAGAGACTGAAGAGGTGAGCTGCTGAGTTTATTGTGGAAGATCATATTTTTCATTTTTATCAAATTTCCAATAGTTTGATTGTGGCAGGCAAAAATGTAATTAGCAAAGCCTAGAGTGTCATGAATGTAATTATCCCAAAAATGGATATATCAAAGTTTAGGTGTTAGATATGTAAATACATAGGAATTTTGTGGCAGATATGTAAATCTTCGTAAATCTTTTTAATAACCAGAAGTATCTCCAAATATCAGGATGCTTGTGCTCTCTCCCTCCCTCCCTCTCTCTCTATGTATTGTTCTTTGATTTCTATGTTTTGCTTTTAAATTGTGCTCAAAGCTCACTGAATCAAACAATAAAATCAACTAATCTTATATATATATAAGTATGTATGTATGCATATTAAAAATCGAATGATCTTGAGGAGAATAGTAGAAGAAGATGACAACAGAAATAAGAGGAGAATGAATTATTATTATTCACCAAGCAGTAAAATATACAGAGGAATGTTTAGGTAGGTATATATATATATATATAGAGAATCAAACAAAATCTCTTAACAAATGCCATACATATCCTTATATAAAAATAAATTCCATTTGCCACTAGATTTTCACAATTCAAAAGCAAAACTTCTTACAAATGAAAGCCGAAATGATAAAAACATCTGCCCCTTCACAATCTTCTGGCCATAATGTTTCAATCACCCAAAAAACATGGGAATGTGAATGTTACATGATTTTGCCTCAGAAATACCATAAAACTATTACACATAAATAATAATTCGTAAAGAGCATTCATACCAATAAGAAAATAAAAAATTCTATTTGTTGTGAAAAAATCGAAGCCTCATTTTGGAGAAATTATTGCGTACGGACACCGGATGCATCTCTGCATGCGGTGTCCGATCCTGACCGTAGATCACGGTGATCTTCGGTTAGGATATATTTCAGTTTTTTTTTAAAAAAAAAAATTAGGTGGGGCCCACCAAAATACATTCTGACCGTAGATCAACTGATTTACGATTTAGAGGAGATTTTTCTTCATTTTGAGGAGATTTTATTTAAAAAACGATTCTTGAGATGGCTTTCCAAATGCTACTCAAATTAATTATCAAGCTGCTGCAGGTTAACTCTCATCATGATCCTCGAGATTTACTGATTTCAGTAACTTAACCAAGATTATATGAATTCCAAAAACAATTTCCAACTTTATCGGGGCTTATGATCAATTAGAAACTAAATCACACCACGGAATAATGGGATCGCACAAATTCGAGAAAAATCCGAACAAAATTATGAAAAGAAGAAGAGAAAGCAACCAGAAAAGCCCACGAGAATTTTACATGGAATAACCTGGGAATGGAAAAAAATCACGAAGCCAGACCATCAGAATTCCACGATTAAATTAAGAAAATTTTTACAAAAAATTTACACCAATTTCCTCCTACACGCACGGAAACACGCAAGGAAACTTACAAGAGTTGCTCCAAATCTTTCCTTCTCTAATCCGACAATACGAAAAACACATGTTGAGATCCTAGAAATCCTCCTCCATGACACTTCTCTCCTACAACGGGAACATGTCAAAGAAACCTCGCGGAGGAACACACACATACACCACTCGAATTTTGGATCTATAATAAAAATAATGTGTAAACTCCTTTTGACGCTTATGTGTTTGGATTTGGCGCATAAGCATCGATGTCTCTGTCGGGCACGGGTATAAGAGGTGCCTAAGAGCTCAATCGTTGGCACATAAGTGCCAACATTATCGGCGCCAACATATAAGTGGGTGCATATATGCCTATGTTTGACGAATAAACACTAGCTCCAATGTGATCTGCTCTAGTGAGGGCGCATATGCGCCCACAACCTGATTCATATGCTTCGGATGCACTGCCTCTGCTTCAGCTCCAAAAATCAATCTCCACACTTAATAATTTCCCACTTGGACACTGATTGTACCCAACACCGATCCTCTGTATCTGCACCTTCATCATGCCTTCATAATCACGTATTGTGGTGTGGTTCACCTTCAGTTTCTCAACAGTCACCACCTTCATAAACATATCCGCAAGATTCTCAACTATGTGTATCTTTTTTAGAAATAACTGGTCATCTAGAAGAGATTGAAAGCAATGTTACCTCAACTGAATGTGTTTTGTCATGACATAAAAAACAACATTCTTAGCAATATGAATCACACTAATACTGTCATTGTAGAGTTCTTTAATCCTAAGTGTCTTGCTCAGTTATGCCATGAAACTCTATTGCCAAACATCTCATCTTAGCCTCAATGATAGCCATATATTCGACTTACATAGTTGAACGTATAATGAAATTCTGCAATCTCGAACGCAACTCATCACTGTGTTCCACAATGTAAGGACACACCTCATTATACTAATTCTTCTATCCACATTTCCTATCATATCTTAATCTGCAAATCTCTGTAGATTGGTCCTTGCACTCAATATGTCATCTGCATACAAGAGAAGCAAGATATAACAATTACTAAAGTATTTTAGGAGTTATTAAGCTCTTGCAATCAAATCCAACAACAACAAATTTGCACTTCACGGATTAAATTTTGTCAACAAGTAGATGAGTGAATAGAAATAATTGAAATAATAAAAATTTGGCTGCCAACTCCATCCTAAAAACACTATTTACTATTCAAATATTGAAATTTGTAAGAAAAATTTTTTTAAATTTACTTCCATTATTAAAAATGAAAAAGAAAATAGCAACCAAACATGAAAATTAAACTACAAAAATATATATGAGTTGACAGTATTATCTATTTAAGATACTTAAGTTCACATTCTAACCGTTTATTTATAACCTAATTGCCAAGTCCTCACAAACTAAATAAATAAACTCTAAAATTATTATTAAAACTAGATTTGGTGGGTCCCGATTAAGGGGGTTATTTTTGGAAATTTGGGATAAAAAGGGTCGTAGACTTTTAAGAATAATGGTGGGCCGGAAACATAGTAAACTGACAATTATTTATTTGTAATGGGCCACGAAGTTCGAGCAAAATTTTATTGGAAGAGCCCGTTGCCAAAAGTAAACTCCACGTGGCGTGATTCAACCATGCCACGTGAACTGGACACTAGACTGTATATATATGATGGCATTGGTGTAAATATTCCTATAATTTTAATTTATTTTTAAAGATATGAATCAGCTGAACAGTTTCAAATGAATTCCAAAGATGTATCAAAATTGTACTATAATTCTATCCCCGATTATCCATTGCTTATTATATTTTATATTCCAATCAGATATTTATATTTATTTCATACAACAATTCTTATTTTATTGATGCTATTTAATAAATTAAAAAACAATAAAGTTATATCCAGTCGAAGTTGGACCCTCAAATTCAAAAACTACCAAAACTGCTTAAGTCAATTTAACCAAGCCGATGGTATGAGCTTCACAATGGCCCCCATGCAGCCTATGTTAGTCTCAATTCAATTAAACTAAGCCTATGACAATAGCAATAAAACTTGGAAACTAATCGACCCATAGAAATGTCTGACCTGATGACCACCGAAGTAAACAGCCACCAGACTTTTTAGCCGTACATACGTATTGTAGAGGTACGGTATGTAATTATATGCTGACATGTTCATATAAATAAATGGTCTATATCATGAATAAAGGTTACGCAAATTTACTGTTCATTAATATGCTATTGTTGTTTCTCTCTCTCTCATCCTTCAGTGCTCTATTCCTTAGGCAAGCCCCCCGGACAAATTTGGATTCAACAAGAGGATATATTACAAATAAGGATTGCATGGATTTGTGGAGTGAAAAGTTCATCTTATATCATTTATAATCAACCATTAACTTGTTGCATTCATTGAGGTCTTTTACGTTGCTCTTTATTTAAGACTTTATGATAAAATTTATGTTTGACTTTTTGATGTCCATCATTTAGGACTTTTTAGTAGCCACCATTTCAAATTTTGTGAAGAGAATCACTATTTCAAGTAATGAAAATTTTGACTTTACATTTAACAATCTCTCACTTGATGTTTGAATTTTAAATATAATTATGTTTGAATTGAAGCTTTGTACAACCTCAATTTCTCAATAGCTATCACTTTTGTGAGCACATCAATGAATTTTAATGCAACTTTATTTTTAAGAAGTTATTAGACACCAACTGCATCCAAAATGTGTATAGTGATGCCTATGTTGTAGATATCTTGTATTGAAATGAAAGACAATGTTCTTTGCTAAGGGGTCATAGGAATCAATTTTTTCTTATATTTTTTATTTTTATTTTATTTTATTTATGTTTCAAAAAAATATGTATGGTATGCTAATATGTATGGTATGCTAAAAAAAATATATGTAGTTGTTTTTAAATACACTCAAAATAAAATGCATATTATTTTGAGTATTTAAAAAAAATAATGTTCATTTATTTTTTAAAATAAAAAATATAACAAATACTCTAAAAATTCATTAAAAACATGTTGAAAAAACAAAAGAAAATAAAAATGATCTCAAGCAAACCCTATGTAAAATATTCACTGTTATAAATTAGTGTGACATCCTTTACATGTCAATTTAATTCTTCTATAAGATCTCTTTGACAAACTCACTCTTTACTGGCTTTGATGATTGTAATGTACTAAACTATTATGAATGATGGTACAACTATCTTTTAAAGCTATGGCACCCAATTAGTAGTGGTGCCACCACATGTGTGGATATACCTGATGATATTTCATTTTTTATTTATGTCTTCTTTTAATCTTTTAATCCTAAATCAATATAACTCTACAATTTTAAATTATTTATTTTAAACTTTAAAAAATAAATAATAACTTTTTGATAACCTAATAATCATTTTACTATTTCTTAATATTTTTTTCTTGAAATTTAGCAGGATCTATTGATGGCTCTCATTACTTGTGAATTATATGATTTTTTTATTAAAAATTGTATATATAAGAAATTCAATGGCAAATGTATAAAGGATTTTGTTCATGTATATTTTCATGCTTTTATTTTCAGCTTATGTTCTTTAGATAATCTAAAGTGGCTAGCAAGTTATGTACTTAAAATCATTGCCTTTGTAATAATGAATCTTTCTAACACTTTTTAGGTTGTAATTAGGAAGGATTTAGTGTATTGGAGGCCTTATTGCAATTTATTTTTATCTTGAGAATCTTTTTTTTGTGTTTTTATTAAGTCCTTCATGTCAAACTCATTTGAGAATTAACTCTTATATCATTGATCATTTTAATACTAACACAATAAACCATTCATATATGATAACATGATGATAAGATTTTTTTTAAAATTATTTAATATAGTAATATTGGTTAGTATTATATCTCTAAACTTTAATCTTATACATAAACCCATAAAATTTTTTAAATAATTTACAGGGCCATATAGACTTTCGCTTAAACTTACAAATAGAGCATTTTTTTCATGTCTTTTTTAGGAAATGTTATTACACCATTGAAATGTGTTCCTCTTTATCCATATGAAAAGAAAAAGCTATCTTGACATCTATAATGATGATCTATTTGTACAAAAAAGAAAAATTAATTATTTTGATGTCTATTTGATTAAGATATTAATATTTTAGTGCCATAATATTTAATAGTAAATGAATAATCATTAATATAATTATAGAAGATAGCGTATTTATAAATTTAATACCATCTTTTTATTGGAAAAAGGCCCTTGATAAAAAGCCTCACGTTATACCTTCAGTTCACTATTTATTTTTCCCTCACTTTGAAAATCTATTTATTTTGCAATCTCATCTTATCTTTTAATAGCTTCGTTAGTGTGAGTGTTACTCTTATGAAAAAATTTATGTTTCTTCTTTTGTAGTGAACTCTCGCATCAAAATTTTTTTAATAATATAGTTCCATTTTAACACAAGCTTTTCTATCCAAACACAATTGCTCTAGAGTTTTTTGAGATATTTTCTATATTTACTCTAAAACAAGTACTTCCTCTGATTCAACTTTTTTCGAAATAAAGATGTCCTTTTAGAAGCATTATTTCTGTTAATAGTTGGTAATAAGCACAATCATGTGTTCCAAAGATAAGGGTCGAGCATTGAGAAAATAGTTGACTCCGTCTCTTTTTTCTTTGTGATTGTTGTATACTTTATAAATAAGGATTATATAATGAGCTCACATTGCAATATTACTGATCAACCACATTGAAAACTCTTATAGCCTCGATTATAGACTTTTATGATATCCTCTATTTAATTTTACGGTTGGCTGTATTTTTAATTTTACGATAGTGGTAGCACTATTTAAAACTTTTATAATAACCATAATATTTTATGAAGAGAGAAATTATTTTGAATAAATTGAACTTTGACTCCACACTTAAAATTAATTGATTTTTTTCCCACAAAATATTGTCAAATTTAGTTTTAGTTGCTCATATAAATATAATGCAAATGTAATCCCTTTATAATAAAAATTAAGAGTTCTAAGCCATTCAACATAATAGAAAATCACAAATCTTTAAATCGAGCAAATTAAGCTTGCCTATAAGCTAACTTCATATAATTTTGAATCTATTCATATGTGCTTGAATCTATAACCTGCAATTTGTAGTCCAAATTGGACAACATGATTATATATTCATATGCATATTAAAACATATTAAAGAGATATGATATTTAAAATCTAATAAGAGATATGTCGTTGTTTTAATCGAAGAAGCTAGCAGTACTCGTGAGAATGACTTTAGAGAGTCATGGAATTCCAAGTCCTAATCGAGATTCCCAATATAAAGAATATAGTAAATTTTTCATGTTAGGAAAGTCAGTAATATTATCAAGTCAAGAAACCAGCTAAAAGGTAAATTCTGATGAAATGTTGAAGAAAAAGGTGAGTGATGATCTGCCAACCAGAGAGCCGTCTCAAGAAGGTGTTGAGTTCCTTTAAGATCAAGCACTTAAAATGACTGAGCTCTTGAGATGTTCTAAATTGTAGGAGTTAGTGAAGCAACTAGCTTTGTCGACGCCTTCACAGACTGAAGTAGTAAAGAGAATGAAATTTCAAGAGGTTAATTTATAAGAATGACTACTCAAAGAAATTACAGAATGAGATCAAGTTCCTAGAATGACTCCTAGTTCTCATCTAATATTTTTTTGTCAAACAATCAAGGAAGTGCTAGTTTGGTTTAGTTTGGATAATCTTGGATGACTATTTTGGATAGCCAGAGCAATCTTTCAAGTGGGAGTTATACATAGGAAGGTGCTAGCCTTTTGTTAATTGGTTGTGGGTAGACTGTTCAACATTACCAACTTTAGAGACTTGATCAAAGTGCTATCTCTAAAGTTAAAAGTTTTTGTAATGTGTACACTCTACATTGAGAACAAGAAAACTAGAATTTATATCAAAGGCATATGGTGAGTAGCCAGAGCAAGCCGCAATGGCTGGCCTCAAGGTAGAAGATATAGTTTTCTGAACTTTATGAAATGAAGAATGACATTATTCACCCTCTTATCTTCCTCTTTTTTTTTTTTTTTTACAAAAATAAACATTTTTCACCCTCATCGTGAGGTAATGAGTTTCAACCCTTACATATTTAGATATTTGTAAGTTGATGATTAATTTTTCCTAAGCCTAAAAAGTCATTATTTAATATTAAAAAATATTAACGTAATTTTTTATTTATTTGCCATGCAATTCACATGTATTTTAATGCCAAAGCACATATTTGAACATGTATATTCTCTTTTAAGAATATAAGATTGTTATTTTTTAATAATATTAAAGATTTATGTGATAGATAAATAAATAAAAAATTTTGATGGTAGATAAAAAGATAAAAAAAATATATTAAACTTTAGTAAATCATCAATTTTTTAAGCAAAAAAAAAAAAAAAATCTAAAAGTTTTTCTAGCATTACGGGATAGAATTGTTGACGATGTGATTTCAAGCCGAATTGAGAATCACGACTTGAAATTGGCCTGAATAGATTTAGTGCGGCTCATGACTAGTTATATTTGATTTCGAGCCGAGTCGGGTCAAATTTGAATCGAGCTCAATCTGGCTCGAAATCGAAATGCGTTGGCTGAAACTAAGTTATGTGGATACGTTTCAACTCGGAATCGGAAACTAATTGGCCCAAATTGAGTTATTTGGATCTGTTCTAACACAAAATTAGCTTATGACTCATTATATTTAATTTTAATTAACATTATATATAATATATAATTATCATAAATAAAAAATATTACAGACCCATCTCCAGTCGGTACAACCGATTCTCAATCCAAAGTCTCGCTCACTAATCGGCATGTTTATACCTTCGAGCCAAATTCACACAGCCTTTTCAGCCATAATTCATGGAATGATAAGCCTCTAAAAGGATACATGGCATAAAGGTCCGGTTCTTCCCCGTTAAAATTCTACTGAAGTTGTAACGGCTAGCTAATACATTTGAAAAGTCCCCATTCGTTCCGCTTTTACCACAAAATCCTCCTATTCTCTCGCTCTATCTGGCAAGCTGGGAATTTGCCTCCATTGAGAAGCTATATAAAACTTTGCAACCTTCACTCCCTTCTTCCAATCCACTGTTTCATACTTGGTTGCTTCTGAGACTTTGTTCTGTTCATCGATCCGTTCGCTCGAGTTCCCATCTCTAGGATTTGCAGCAAACCTCGTTTCTGTTAATCCAATCCCAGTAATTTCAAGGCTTTCAGCACCATTCAATGGCGCCAATTTCAAAAAAGACGGAAGATTACATCCGGGAATCCATTGAGGATTCTGTAGGCCTCCCCATTTCGGAGAAGACGCTCAAGCTGAAGCTTTTGGCTTCGGAGGAAGATCGCCGACTCCTTCGAGATCAGAACTTTATGTTGCAGGACCGACTAAGGGAGATCAATACGCGCTTCCAGAGCTGTCCAGTGCTGCAAGGTTCGTCCTTTCTCTGTCTCTCCCAACCCCAGAAACACACACATTCTAATGTTCTCTAATTCTGTAAGCGATTCTTTGGTTAGATATATAGTGTTTTTTTGAGGAGGCGTTTAGCATCCTTTTCATTCAACAGAAAACGCACAGCACGTTAATGTTGGTTTGGCTATTCAGTTTTTCAGAATGTTTTTCCCATCGCAACGCTATTTCAATGGCATTTTCTTCCATTTTGAATCGCCCTGTAACCTCATAATTAAATTTTTAGCAGTTCGGTTTTGGTGCAATTCATAAGAAACTGACTCGTAATATTTTGTTTTATGAATAATGTTAAGATTGTGTCAACTCTTTATTGGTTTTTTCGCTCAATTCGTTTAGACCAAACTAAACTTTTGGGTTTATTGTGACAGGAGGAAGCCAGAATGAACGCACGTGGTTTAAGAAAATGTATCAAAGAGAAGGAAACAATAGTCGCAAAGAACGCTGAAATGGAGAAGTACTGCGCCAAACAGGAGAAAAAATGCATGCTGTTTCAACGTGAACTGGATAATTCCATGGAATCCTGCTGGGAGTTAGAGAAGAAGAATCATGAACTCCGTGCTCAATTGCAGGATATCTCCTCTGTGAGTTTTTTGGTGCTTTTAACTTCCAATATATCTTGCAGTATTTTATATTAAATTCTCAAATTCCATGTATCTTGCAGTTCATTAATTAGCTATGTTTCAAATTTCAATTTTTCATGGAATCTGTAAAGCTGAGAAAGAATGTGTTTCTGGCTGAAAATAAAATTCAAAATTATCATTTAAATTTTTCTTAAACTTATTTTAAAATAAGATGAAAAAAATAGTTTACAATTTTTATTAAATCTTAAATGTGCCATTACATAAACAATCTAGTGGAAAATTATATTAATTAATATCACAAATTAAATTTTTAATATTGAAAATGGGATATTTGGTTTTCATAAAACTTCATGAACCTCCACAATACTGGGGGTGAAGCTTAAAGGGGAAGCCAAATAGAATAAGGAAGTCATCATTCATCCAATCCAAGTTAAAATGCTTATAATTAGCTTTTACTGGCCTTCATAATAGCAACTCAACTGTAGTCAAAACATTAGTATATACACTTACCTTCTTCAAACAAGCATTACCATACTAACATTACTATTTTTCATACATCTATCTCTTTTTATTTCTACTCATCATTATCAGCATTTTCCAAAACCCCACAAGTCCTTCACAATACCTCATTGAATAACAACATCAAGCATATTGGTTCTTCAGAGTTCAGACTCTTTTAACCCATAGAAATTCTCAATTCAAACTTTATGGGCATTAATCTCATTAGCATGCGCTCGCACTTCATCAAACAAGATTGAGATTTTCTCAGTTACCGACTATTTTGCGTGCCTTTTTATAACATTATTGTTTATTTTAATTTGTTATTACATGTATGATCCATACTCAAATACGGCCTACTAAATTCAGTACATTTCTGTCATGCTCTTTTATATCTTCCTGTATTCATTTTAAATTTTAATCAAATTATTCAACCAATGTTAGCTTCAAGCTATATTCGCTGAAGTCCAGTCCTGGCAACAAGATAAGGAGATGCTCTTAAAAAATCTGCAGAAAGCTGAAGAGGAGGTAACAAAATTGCTAATCAGCTTTATTTTTCTTATTTGCTTTATTTTTTTTTGTCATGAGTCATTATATCATACGTTATCACTTCAATTTTACATTTTTAAGGTGAAATTGATGTATAAAGAGAACAGATCTCTAGATGAAGAAAATAAGCGGTTGCAGAGAAAGCTACAAAGAGAACAAATACATCATAGATCCGAGCACAAGCGCTCAACCAGGGACTCTTCTTCTAAGGTGAGAGTCTCACAGCTAAGATTCTTGAGAAATGCTCCTTGCAATAGCTTAAATATAACTCATTTTTAACACCATGGTGATATAAAACTATTATTTGGTCATTACATTCCTCTTACGTGTAACTTGTGAGGTAAAAAGAAGCATTTTTTTCTTATTTCAGGGTAAGCGAAAGTCGAGGCAAGGGGAAAGCAAGCATTTTGCTAGAGAAACCGACATCAATCTTGACGAGCCATCCAGACACTGTCCCCACAGTTATCAAAATTCTCCACAATCAAAGAGGTTGAAGAGGTGAGCTGCTGAGCTTATTGTGGAAGATCATATTTTTCATTTTTTATCAAATTTCCAATAGTTTGATTGTGGCACGCAAAAAATGTAATTAGCAAAGTTTAGAGTGCCATGAATGTAATTATCCCAAAAATGGATATATCAAAGTTTAGGTGTTAGATATGTAAATACATAGGAATTTTGTGGCAGAAATGTAAATCTTCGTAAATCTTTTTAATAACAAGAAGTATCTCCAAATAACAGGATGTTTGGCTCTCTCTCTCTCCCTCCCTCCCTCTATTCCTATCTATCATTCTTTGAGTTCTATGTTTTGCTTCTAAATTGTGCTCAAAGCTCAATGAATCAAACAATAAAATCAACTAATCTTATATATATATAAGTATGTATGTATGCATATTAAAAATCGAATGATCTTGAGGAGAATAGTAGAAGAAGATGACAACAGAAATAAGAGGAGAATGAATTATTATTATTCACCAAGCAGTAAAATATACAGAGGAATGTTTAGGTAGGTATATATATATATATATATATATATAGAGAGAGAGAGAGAGAGAGAGAGAGAGAGAGAGAGAATCAAACAAAATCTCTTAACAAATGCCATACATATCCTTATATAAAAATAAATTCCATTTGCCACTAGATTTTCACAATTCAAAAGCAAAACTTCTTACAAATGAAAGCCGAAATGATAAAAAGATCTGCCCCATCACAATCTTCTGGCCATAATGTTTCAATCACCCAAAAAACATGGGAATAATGGATGTTGATATGACTTTGCCTCAAAAGTACAATAAACTTATTACACAAAAAATAATAATTCGTAAAGAGCATTCATACCAATAAGAAAATAAATGATTCAATTTGTTGGTTAAAAACAGAAGCCTCATTTTGAGGAGATTTTATTTAAAGAATGATTCTTGAGATGGCTTCCCAAATGCAACTCAAATTAATTATCAAGCTGCTGCAGATTGCCTCTCATCATGATCCTCAAGCTCTAGTGCTTGCAGTAACTTCATCCCAGATGATAGGAATTCCAAGAATACTTCCCAGCTTTATAGGGGCTTGGATGGCAGCGCACAAATTCGAGAAAATAATAATGGCATATAAAGAAGAACAATTAAAGCATATAATTAAGGAAAATAATAATGAATCACAAAAAATAATAATGTCAGCGCACAAATTCGAGAAAAAACAGGAACACAAGTATGAAAAGAAGAACAATTAAAGCATATAAAAAATCCTCCTCACTCGCCGACACTTCTCTACTTCACCAAGAAAATGTTGAAGAAACCTTGAGCAGGAACAGATATGCCACTCAAATTCAGAACTTAAAACCGATAATCATGTGCAAACTACTGCTGGCGCATATGCGTCCTGATTTGGCCCGTAGGCGCCAATGTCTAAAGAATGCATAAGCGCTCGATAGTTGGTGCACAAGTGAAAAGATTTGTAGCAGAATGCATTGAAAGATCTTTATCAAGTGAAAATATTTGTTGCCTAAGTTAGTGAAGAACGCCATCGATCTAGGGAGCATTCTAGAGCTGCGAGTTATAAAGGCGTACCTTGTGACTGCTCACTGCTTTAGAGAAATGGTCTTCTCCACTAACTTAAGGGCCTCAGATACTTCCACTTAATAATTAAGGATCGTTCAAGGCATTTAGCTTATGTTCATGGAAATGGTAATAGAAATGATAAATTTATGTCTTCACAATTTAATATGAAAGCGGTCCGTGTCAGCATCAATTCAAGCAATTCTATTTTTGTTTTTCTCTGGAGTCACTTTCTCGTTGAGTTGGAATTTGTGAGTTTAAATTGTGTTAAATGTTATTAAGTAATGATTATTCAAAGTATTTGGCTCCACCATCATCAGATCAAGGATTTTGCTCATTAAGCACATCTTAATTATAATTAGTTAATGCGGAATAGCAGACCATAGTCTGAAAATTCTCTTGGAGCCATAGAACATATTCTAAAGCGTAGCATGCATTATTATAAATATAATGTGAATTATAATGAATGAAAATAATGAATTAAACAAATGTGTAGCTCATTAGGCCTAGTGGTTCGGTGTTTTCTCCAACCACAATCTTACATTGACCGCGTGCGAGTTGAGAAAAATAAACCCTATTCACATGTGAAGCTTTGATTGCTTGTATTCTAATTGTGTGTGTGTGTGTGTGTGTGTGTGTGTGATAGACATTCTTCTTCCAATTTTATTAAAAAAAAAAAAAAAAAACTCTTAACAAAAGCCATAAACATCCTTATATAACAATAAATTCCATTTACCACTAAAATTTCACAATTAAAAAGCTGAACTTCTTACAAATGAAAGCCGAGATGATAAAAACATCTGCCTCAACAATCCTCTAGCCAGAATGTTTCCATCACCCAAAAACATGGGAATAATGGCTTTGCCTCAGAAAAAAACAATATTGCTGTGCGATCAATAAAACTATTACACAAAAATAATAATTCGTAAAGAGCATTCATACCAATAATATAATAATAATTCTATTGGTTGCGAAAAAAACTGAAGCCTCATTTTGAGGAAATTTTATTCAAAGAATGATTCTTGAGATGGCTTCCCAAATGCAACCCAAATTAATTATCAAGCCGCTGCAGATTGCTTCTCATCAGGATCTTCCAGATTTAGTGCTTGCAGTAGCTTCGGCCAAGATTCTGGGATGCCCCCTGGTAAATCAAACTCCAGCAGTTTTCCTCTGCTCCGATAGAATTCCTCTACAGGTTTACTCTATGTTAACCAAGAAAAAAATATTTTACATTGTTATTTTAATAATTTCAAACACAAAGAAATGTGAACATTTTACTGTTATAGAAAATAGTGCTAAAGAAATAATTAGATTCGTAAAATTGACGAGAAAAGAAGATAAAATTCATTTCACATAAACTCGGAAAATATTTTTTGATCTGCTATTTCATGAGATAACATGTGTGTATGTGCACGTGTGTGAACTACAGCCTATCACAAATCATTTTTATAATTTCACTTGGACATCATCATCCCACAATATTTACGCAATTTACATTAAAAATGAATCAAATAATTTATTTTTTTGCAACCATTAATGAAAAAAACATCTAAGTGCTACCAAACTATTATATCTCAAAGGTGTTTTCAATTGGTTAAAATCAGAAAAAATTGCCGGTTGCACAATTCCCAATATGATTTTAAAAAAATAGCAATGACAAATATAAATAGTTATAGAAAATTTCAAAATTTGAATAATTAATATATCGAATATTATTTATTGTAGGAGTAAAAACCCAATTACTTTTTTCTAAATATCAGTTCTTGTTTACTTTGCTAGAGCTGCTAAAGAGTCAAACTAACCCAATCCAATCCAGCTCATGATTGGCTCAAAGTCATTCAATCAAAAATCTCAAACCGAGCCAAATTTGGTTATATAGGTTGGCTCATTTTGAGCCAAAAATTCAGTCAATCAAAACTAAGTTTTATCTCACAAGATTAATTTTTAATTCAATACATAAACTTTTCAGTCCAATCTCAAGCAAGCTCAATCTAATCTTTGCTCAATTCGACTTCAATTTAAGTTGAGCTTAGCTCATTAATAAGCTCGTTGACTTCAATCTGAGAAAAAAAAAAAGAAGCAAGATTTTCAAGTGATTGTTGAACTTCAAGCCCAAACTCCCCACAGTTACACTTTAAGGCTATGTTTCTAATATGATCGATTGTGTGCATCGTATGAGAGGTTCTAGTTTGCATATTGAAATGTAACAGAAGTATCATGTGGTGTTATTAATAACAAAATACAAGACTACTTGCAATAAATTAGATATATAAAACAAATAAAAAGGATATTTTTAAGAAAATGTAACGCATAAGAGATACAAATTAAAAGTGTTAATATAAAATGGTAACTATCAATTTATTAATTGCAAGAGCGTTAAAAGTAAAAAAGCTATAAAATAAGCAAACATAAATACCTATACCTAATCACATGATAATGTTATCTATACTAAAAATAAATAGAAATCGTTAATTTCAAGAGAATTAAAGACTAAAAATGTTCTTAAAAAAAATAATAATAATTTGATTGTGCATAATGATAATTTAGTTTATGCATGTGTGAGTATATGTTCGTTCTTTCCACAATTAAAACATATCTAGTTAAAAATAATAAGTTTCCACCATAAAAATTTCTAGAAAGCAGTAGTCAAATGAAAAAGTTGCAACAATATGAAAAGCAAAGCAATTAAAAAGCTATCCTAAAGAGACTATGGGTCTGTTTGGCGCGTTTCGGGCAGCTGCAGCTGCGCTGCCCCAAGAAGCTGCTGCGGGAAAGTAGCTGCGAGGAAGCTGGCTGTCTGTTTGGTGCAGCTGTGTAAAAACAGCTGCTATGCAGCTGTTTCTGAAAAAATGATAATTTTGCCCTCCTTTGGTAAAACTGTTTAAAAAAATGTTGTAATAATGAAAATTTTTTTAATTTCAAAAGTAAAATTTGTTATGTAATAAATTAGTGGAACTTGACAGTGTTAAATAAGTAATAAATGTAATTTTTGGGTAATTTTAAAAGTTATGAATATCAAATTTTGATGATCAAACACATATATTTTAATTTTCTGCAATTTGCATTTAAAAGTAAATGCAAATAGCAGAAAATAGCTTAAAATAATGGAGAAGCCACAAAATTACATTCAAACACTTGTTCGGACTGATGTACTCCAGATTGGAGATCAAATATGCATTGGAGATCAAATTTGTATTGTAACCTGGACTGATGTACTCCAGATTAAGAAAGAAAGAAAGCTCAAGCTCTTGGTAAAAAGATTGTTTCATTTGTTTGCCATAGATGCTTCATTTGTTTGCCAATCTATGCATCTCATCATAATCTCCTCCTTTCATCATTTTTTTTTAATACAACAACAAGTATTTAAGCACGGTCGAGACGGCGCGGCC